GAGGGACTCCCAGAGAGCCAGACTCTGCTGTTGCTGAGTCACATCATCTGCAGCAGCACTGCTTACATTGTGAAGGACACTGTGACTGAAAGGGACCCAGATATTGAGAAGCTGCTTTTCCTTAGTATGAAGTATTCTTCATCTTGATTTTTTCTTTTTTTTTTTTTTGGTGGTACGTGCCTCTAGCGGGAACCGAACCCAGGACTCTCTGATCCGCAGGCCAACGCTCAACTGCTGAACCAAATTGGCCAGGGCTTCATCTTTATTTTTAGGGCCTGGAGCCAATATTGACAACTAAGTGGCAAAAGAGGAATTAAACAATGGGCATCCTTTTTATACTTCTTTCAGATAAAAGCTGTGGTGTTCAGCTGTATAATATATGGGATCTTCTCTCTTAACTCTTCATAGTGAACCTCCAATTCTTAATTCCTTTTAGTAAAGGAAGAATTTTTCCTCAAAGAGAATAGCTTTATGTTTTCCAGATTATGTAAATAATACATCTTCGTTGTGAAGGATTTAAACATGTAGAATATAAAGTAGTGGTCACCTGGAACCCCACTATCCTGTGACAACCACTGTAATACATCAGCTTGTCTAGACAGAACTACATTTCCCAGGATTCCCTTCTACGTTCCAGTTAGAGCTAGCCACAAACTCGCTCGTATGCACGATTTGGAGGGCCAGAAGGAAGCAGCAGCCGTTCCACAAGCTGACACACGTTTTCACTCACCCACTGGCTCACCTCATCGGAGTCAGCCAGCATCGGGGCCTGCAACTATTCCACTTTCCCGTGGGTCTCCCTTCGGCTTCTCTGATGAAGGGTCTGTTTCTGCAGGACGCTCGCAAATCAGGGTTGGAGTTAAGAACAGACACAGGTAATAAGTCCTCATGGGTTCCAGCTAATACCTGTGGGTTTCCAGCTTGTTCTTATCCTTCCTGATTTTACACCCTCTGACTGCCTGTCCTACGGCTTCAAGTTCCAGCATCAGACGGTTGCAGCCTTAGAGAGACATTGGCACTTCCCATGGATTGTGCAAGGTCAATTCCCCATACCAAATCCTCCTAATATGTTACCCATGATAGAAATTAAGAACATTTTCAGCCCTGGCCAGTTTGGCTCAGCGATCAGAGCATCAGCCTGCGGTCCAGAGAGACCCAGGTTCGGTTCCCGCTAAGGGCATGTACCTCGGTTCCAGTTTGTCCCCGGCTCTGGTTGGTCGTGCGGGTGGCAGCCACTCAATGTGTCCCTTTCACATCGATGTTTCTCTCTCTTCCTCTCTCTCCCTCCCACTTTATCTGAACAAAAATGGAAAAAAGTCCTCAGGTGAGGATTAAAAGAAAAAAACTATTTTCATAGTTATCTTGAGTATATTAGCATTTCTGTTAAAAGGAGGAAAAATAAAATATTTAAGGAAGAACCCTATAAATAATCTAATTTCAACCCCTCAGTTTAAAGATGTGAAAAATGAAGCCTAGAAGAGAAAGAGGCGCTCAGGTTTTGAACCCAGCTTTTCTGCTGCTCTCTGATAGCCTTCCAAAGTCCGCTGAATGTGTGGTTTCTGCCCTGCAGAATATCAAAAAATAGCAACGCTTGGGCTCTCTCTCCCAGAGCAGTCATTTTTCAATTGGTTGCAGTATCTCTGCAATACCACTATATACTGAACACTACTAAAACTGAGTGAGAAAATACAAATCCTGTTAGAAGGGTCCTTGACAGACGGCGACATCAGGGGCAGGCTCTCCCGCTTTCATGAACTGGACATGCTGACAAAAACATTCCTTCTCTGATTGATACAAAGTCAGTCTGTGTAGACGATTTTGAAAACTACTTCGGAATTGTCCATGTAGTATCATTTTAGGAAAATCAGATTCTGTACCCTACAAATAGAAAGATAACTGAGGAGCTAGAGCACATAGTGTGGGCAGGGGCCAGATGGGTACGAGGCAAAACGCAAACCACCAGGCTGCATGGGTGTTGTCTTGAACTTGAATTTCAGAGTGAAACGAGATAATTTAGTTCTGTGATCACAGGACTCTGCTTTGGCAGATTTGTAACTGATTATAAAATTTGAAAGTTTAATAATGTTGAGAATTATTCTTATAAAACACTTCCAGGGTTGCATAATAGTTATAAACTTCCTAGTTCTTTGATTTCTAAAGCTACTGACAGGCCAACTGTGGACAGTCCCATGGAGAGCAGCAGATGCTGTCTGTGCCGAAGGCATTTGCTCAGCACTGTGGGAAAGTAAAGCTGATTAAGATGCAGTCAGTCCCTGATCTCACTTAATAGGGGCTTAAGATTTATATAAACACATGGTGTAATGAGGGTTAAGGAATAGACATGGGAGAGAAAAGGGCTCCTGAGAAGAGAGCATTTCAGCCGAGCCTTGATATGTGTGCATAGGCAGACATGGTGGAAAATAATAAAAACCATTCTTTGTAATATTGAGTACCTGGTGGTGGTGACTTTTTAAAGGGGCTGCTCAAAAAAATTACTGAAGCCCTGACTGGTTTGGCTCAGCAGTTAGAGCGTCAGCCTACAGACCAAAGGGTTGTGGGTTCCATTCCCAGTCAAGGCACGTACCTGGGTTGTAGGTTCGATCCCCAGCCCTGGTTGGGGTCATGCAGGAGGCAATCAATCAATGTGTCTCTCACATCAATGTTTCTCTCCCTCCCTCCTTCCCTTCCACTCTATCTAAAAATCAATGGAAAAATATCATTGAGTGAGGATTAACAAAACAAAACAAAAAAGACTGAAAAGTTTTCTCTCAGCAGAATCCTCAAGGTCAGCTTTTACATCAAAGTCAAGTGTTCACTTAAAGCTTCAAAAAAATTCAGCAACAAAATAGAACTTAAAGTGTAGCTTCTAGAAGACACCAGATTCTATCAGGATAGAAAAATAGGGAAGTAACTGATAACCAGTTTTTCTCATCCCTAAGCTGAACATGGTGACTTCAAAGAAAAGGCAACAATGTTTTATGAACATTTCATCTCATCCAGTCTCACGTGCTTGGTAACAGTTCAGAAGAGCAGAAAGGACCAGGACTACTTGGCTTCAAACCTCCACACAACTTCCTAAGCCAGGCTGTGGGACCTGTAGAAAATATTCTGCCTCTCTGAGCTGAGATACTAGTATCAAGAGGATCAAATTAATGTGAAAATAAGTACATAACCTATAAATCAAGAGTATTTATTTTAATCCTCACCTGAGAATATTTTTCCACTTATCTCAGATAGTGAGAGGGAGGGAGAGAAAGAGAGAGAGAGAGAGACAAAGAGAGAAACATCGACATGAGACAGACACAGCTACTGGTTGCCTCCTGCCCAACCCTGACCAAAGATGGGGACAAACTGCAACCGACGTACATGCCCTTGACCGGAATTGAACCCATAACTCAGGCCGATGTTCTAACCACTGAGCCAAACCGGCCAGGGCTGAATCAAGAGTATTTTAAAGTATCTTGCAGGTTGACCCAAGCCTTGCCCATGAATATTTTTAGGTCTAAGAAGGAAGTATTTTGGCTAAAGAATAACGGAATGACCCTTGATGAGGTTATTCTATTAGGGTCCCTACAAATGAAAAGTGCCATACAATTTAAAACCAGCACCAACTAGAGATTTTAATCTCAATAGGTATCAATTACACTGTGGCTGAAACTGAAAAGGACTCAACAATGGGACTCAAGTTTTACCAATAGCTCTGTGATTCTGGCAAGTAACTAATCCCTGCCCTTCCATTTCCTCACCTTTGAAGCAGATAGAAGATTCTTTACTACTTCTGGGATTACCGAAAATAACGCAGTACATGTGGCTGTCTTGAGTTTACAGGTTGAAAATGCAAAACAAAGGTACTACAAGGCACAATCTCATTAAAATGAGGACCCCATAAAGCTCATCTATCAGAAATAGAAGAGGTAATCCTGAATGGCCAACTGGAGGAACTAGTGAAGTTCATTTACCACGGAGGAAAGGCTCCTCTCCCTCAACTACTTACGGATGCCATGAAGATATGAAAACTACTAAACCAGTCCTGAAATCAACCTTAAGGCAAAATTTTAACTCTTAGAAAAGGAGTTGCTGGCTATTGGCACAACCTCAGCTTTCATAGGCAAACAGCTAGGTAATATTTCCTGGCCTGGCAGTCAGGTGTGGCCATGCTGTCTACTGGAGTATGAGTGGAAATGAAGGAGAGCCATTTCCAGACCACAGCCTTGAAAAACCTTTCCTCTCCTGCTGGCTTGGATAGAAGCAACTGCAACGACTTAGGACAACCCTCCTCCAATAGTGCTCCAAGTGGGACAGGGAAGGCCCAAGGCCAGGAGGTCTTCACTGCACGCAAAGAATGTGAAGTGCTCGCCCCAGTCATCTTCCTGAGGCTGGTATCTCTAGAGAACTCAGTCTGAGGAAGGCTGCCCTGGAGGGTAACACAGCTTCATGATTAAAGGAATCGGCCCCTGAATAACTATAGAGAAATCCTAACATAATGAGAAATAAATGGGTCTTTGGGAATTCTGTCTAATTTAGCAGTTAACATTACTCCAACGAATAGATCACCCTGAACTTTTAATACAAATTTGTTTACTTTCAGTGATTAAAAAGAAGGCACGCGGCCCTGGCTGGTTTGGCTCAGCAGTTGGAGCATCGGCCTGTGGACCAGAGAGTCCTGGGTTCAGTTCCCTCTAGGGGCACATACCAAAAAAAAAAAAAAAAGGCACACAAATTTAATATCTATATTTATGCAATTCTGATGCGGTAATGATTTTAAAATCAGTCAACACAAAGTGCAACACTTTTAAAGTTTAATGTAAAGGTAGATGATCTAGTTTAAAATTACAAATTCAATTATAAGAAAAAAGATGTATCTATACACCAACTTTACATATTTACAGAAATATCGGACTTCCAAGCTCTAATATTTCAAAAGTATTCACCTTCCTCCATACAAACCTAGTATTGTTTGGCAACAATATACTGATCTTAAAAACAAAAAGTGAATACACTTTTCAGATGCAATGCTTTGTCTTTCATTTGTGCAACTCACCACGGTTGCTTTCATTCTCAGCACTTGGGGTTCACCAGAATGTCATCCAAAGCAACCCCACCTAGATTTTTTTGGGAAAAACACTTTCTGGGAACTTATTACCTATTCTTTCTTCTCCTATGAAGAAGCTGTCCCCACCCGCATGATTCTGAACAGCGTGTTGATGTTGTTGCTTCGAATTGCATCCCGACAAGCAGTGATCACCTGGTTCTTTGGTTTTCCAACTATATGAGAAGAAACATCAACTCAGTACAATCTGAAAGATTATTACAAGTGAAATTATAAATCAGGTCAGCTTTAAAACAGCCTAAAACTAGGGTAGAAGAGAGTTACAGGTAGTGCAAATTCAACTAAATTATCTTACATTCCCTAAAAAAGATACCTATGTGAGGAAATTTACTACAAACCAAACCTAGAGACCATTCAAACCTAGAAGTCAAGTCAGTTTTATAGAAAAAGCTTAAAGCTCATACCTACCTACCAAAGATTACTTATAAAAGGAGGTCAAAAGCACTGACTCAAAACAGCAGATTTTAGAAATAAATCTCTGGCTATGTTTCTGCTTCCTTTGGTTAACTTGACTGCTCTTTTTCTAAATTTTAAGTTGAACACTTAACTCATTAATTTTCAGTCTCCCTTTGTTTTTTTATTTTTATTATTTTTTATCCTCACCCGAGGACTCTTTTCCATTTTTTGTTCAGATAGAGCGGGAGGGAGAGAGAGGAAGAGAAAGAGAGAGAGAAATATCGATGTGAAAGGGACACATCAAGTGGCTGCCACCCGTACAACCCAACCAGGGCCGGGGACAAACTGCAACCGAGGTACGTGCCCTTCGCGGAACCGAACTGGGTCTCTCCAGACCACAGGCTGACGCTCTAACCGCTAAGCCAAACTGGCCAGGGCTCCCTTTGTTTTTTAATAAGGGTATTTAAGGCATTCCTCTTGGGTATATTTCACTAGTTTTTTCTTCAGAGGGTGCAGCGAGGCCTAAGAAAAGGAGCTACAAGCTTTCTTTCCCTTTGAAATCTGGACACTAACTGAAGCCAAACAATAGGCTGACTAAAACTCAAGTGACTGGTGCTATCTTGAGGGTTAAAAGTCTTTGTAGATATAGGCCTCAATGTGAATACTCAAAGCTACCAGCATCTTCAATGGTTCTCACCCCAAATTTACTAATAACAGCGCTACCAAAAGACTTACCACGCAGACGACCTGCTCTTTGAATTGCTTGGTTTACTGCTTTGAGGTTTCCCAGTAGCTCTGTGTGATTGTTACAGCGAATTTTATATCCATTTAGCAAGTCTTTATTAAGATCATAGAGCTCCATATAGCGATTCTTCATTGTTTTCCTGTATAAATCAATAGAAATTGAACATTGTACCTCAATATGGCAAGCTTAAATAAATGAAAAAACGTGCAAAATTCTTAGACACATAAAGGCACCAAATTCTTAGCTGTATTGTCATTAAAACAGGGTAACTACTAGAGTTCACTTTGAAAACACTGGGAAGTTTCTATCAAAATAATCTATTTCTACCCTGGTCGGTTTGGCTCAGCAGTTGGAGCGCCGGCCTGCAGACCAGAGAGTCCCGGGTTCGGTTCCTGCTAGAGGCACATACCAAAATAAATAAATAAGTAAATAATCTATTTCTTCCAAATAAGTGGAAGGCAAGTGGTTTTCCTTTGTTATTGGTCCTGGTTTGTTTAAATTTAGGAGCCAAGAATGATCATGTGCCCACTGTGCTGGAGGGGGAGGGAAAAGTGAGCAAGATGACAGCCTATCTTCCAGGTTTCAGGTTAACAATGCTTAGACAAAATGTGCAAGACCTGCTCATATTCATTTTTACCTTTTTATTGTAAAATGTAATACACATTCAGAAAAATTCATAGAATGTTTATTAGCCAGGTCAAGAAAAAGGCCATTGCCAGCATTCCAGAAGCTTCTCAATGTGTTCTTTCTGAACACAGTCCCTCCTCCCCTAGGAGAAAATACTATCTTATATGATCATCTCTTCCCTGCATTTCTTTATATTTTTATCATCTATGCTTCCCAAAATGATATTTAGTTTTGTATGTTTCCAAATTATATATAAATGGAAGCATTTTGTACATATTCTTTTGAGTCTTACTTTTTTTGGTCTCCATTATGCTTGTAAGATCTGTCCATGTTGGAATGTGATTGAGATACATGCATTCTTACCGTGAATAGTGTTCCATTGTGTGGCTATATCATAATTTATCCATTATACTATTGATGCTAATTTGGATTGTTTCCATTTTGAGGTTCTTATGAACAATGCTTTTTATGAACATTCTTGTACAAATATCCTGGTTTATATATGCATGAGTTTCTCTAGGTCATAAACCAGGAGAGTTGCTGGGTCATAGGGTATGCACATTGTCAACTCTACTGATAATGCCATGTTATTTTCCAAAGTCCTTGTACCAACCACACTCCTCCTAGTAGCATCTGAGAGCTGCTATTCCATACTGCTGACATGTTTCACCTTGCACCTGTCCTGGCCACGGTAAATACTCACATGTCCCTCATCAGACGAGCATCCTCAGCTCGGACCAGCAAACTTCGGATCAGATTAGAATTGTCAGCCATGTCAGCGCTGAGCTTCTGATGCACTGAGTGATATTCATCTACCTGGAGTCCATGAACATTCAGGAATGAAAAAGACCTCCCACACTTCATGAAAACCAGAAAGACTGAGAAGACATTGTTGACCATATACCAAGACCCTCTCCTTTCCCCTGCTGAGTTGACCCGTCTTAACCCTCATTGTGTTAGCTCCTCCTCAGGGAGGCGATTAGTCTGTGAGGCTTCCAACCCTTGCGATGACATTCCATTGGGATCCTTTCCATGTCTTAGCATGGGAGCCCTCGTAACACACATATTAACATTCTAGAGATTTGAGGTGGGAGTTTTGTTATAATTTGGGGCCAGTCACAATCATTATTTTTTTCTTTTCGGTTTGCACTGTTGGAAAGCACTAAACCAAGAGCCAAGTAGATACAACAGGTAAGATGAAGGGTTAGCATGCTGATGCATATTTTAAAAAGTATTCCCCTAAATCAAAGAAAGAAAACAGGGCAGTCAAGAATTTGCAAAATTCTTTTCTTTTTATGCTTTTATTGATTTTTAGAAAGAGAGGGAGAGGGAAACAGAGATAGAAACATCGATGACAGAAAACATGGGGAGCCCTGGCCGGTTTGGCTCAGCGGTTTGGCTTGCGGTCCAGAGAAACATGGGGATCGAGCCCGCAACCCAGGCATGTGCCCTGTCCGGGAATCAAACTGGCAACCTCTTGGTGTATGGGGCTATGCTCCACCACTGAGCCATACCAGCCAGACTGCAAAATTCTTTAAAACACATCTATCATATAGCATACATACACTCCTAGTACCATTACTCTCCTAAGAGAAACATTTCAAACATTAAGCTCCCAGGTTCCCATAAATGCATCCACTGGGTGCTCTCACCTTGATTAGTACCTTTCGTAACTCTTCAAAGTAGACAGGGAAATCCGCTTCCACCTGAAGGTCTTCAATAGCAAAAAATGAGGCCATTGACTGGATGATGTCACCAGCCAAATCAATATCATCAGTATTTACAGTTATCTATCCAGAGGAAAAGAGACAAGTTCAGCATCCTCAGATATTAAAGACAAACTAAGCTGGAAACAGCATCTGAATTTCCCCATACTCAACACATTTACTGAGCATAAATTTATATATGGCAATGAATAAGATAGGGTTTAGCCCTCAAGTAAATTATAAACCACATTCATTATTTCTAGCGGCAGGCTGAAAGATCAATCCTTTATCCTTATAGACTAAACAAGTCATTCAAACAGGGAAAATGTTTCTGCTTTCCTAACCCTCCCCAATTAGACAAGAAAGGGCTGAAGGGAAGGAGGATGCGAGGCAGAAAACCACTATTCTAGGTTGTATCCCAATGTCTAAGGTGTTAACACTAACAGACTCAGTTGAAACGTGGTTTTATGACCTTGAGATTGGTGTCGTCCACCTCACTTGGCACTGAATGGTCAATACTACATGAGAAATCTATGTCCAAGGCAAACATTACCTCTCCACTAAGCTTTATTTTTATGTACAGCTGACTACCGTTCCGTAAGGATGTGAAACACACTTGAAATGGAGCATTCTGAATGTTAGTGTCTTCTGGGAGCAGAAAGTTCTGGTGGAGCCATATAACAACCTTAAAAATGAATAGGATGAAATGAACTTCCATTTTTTAAAGTACAGTTATTGCTAAGAGTTATCCTTTCTCATTTCGTTGCTTGGCGAACAGACAATTATACTTCACACCTCTCCCAAAAAGAAAACTCCACTCACACTCCCTTTCCCACCTCCTTCCTGCATGTTCTTAGGTAACATTCATAATTATGTGTGGACCCACAGCATGCATAATTTAAAGCATTTCCAACTTAGACGTAACCTTATATGCAGAAACAATTCAGGTATGATGCTAATTCTGTTTACACAATAGCTCTTCTGTGGTCCTGTCCTGGACAATACAGACTGCTTAAAATGATTTCAGTCCATTGTATAAAAATGTTAAATAAAACATGCATACACATAGCACAGACACCTTGGCACATCCACACAATGTAACTAAATTTTAAGAGTAATAGTAACAGTACTTTATAGTGGTTTGTAACACAGATTCCACAGAAGAACCACCATGAGGCTTTCTGGAAGGGTACACCTATAGATTTTCTGGTTCTACAGGTCAGGCAGGGGACTGAGAATCTACATGATTGAAAAGCCACGCCCTGGTCGGTTTGGGTCAGTGGTTAGAACGTCGGCCCGAAGACCAATGAATCACGGGTTCGATTCTGGACAAGGGCACGTACCTCAGTGCAGTTCGTGCCCAGCCCTGGTCAGGGTCGTGCAGGAGGCAACCAGTCTATTTGATGTTTTCTCTCACATTTGATGTTTCTCTTTCTCTCCCTCCCACTCTGTCTGAAGATAAACAAAACAAAACAAAATTATCCTCAGGTGAGGATTGAAAAATAAAAAGAAAAGCCTCACTAAGAATTCTGAAGTCCAGCCCTGGCCAGTTTGGCTCAGCGGTTAGAGCGTCAGCCCACAGTCCAGAGAGACCCGGGTTCGGTTCCCACTAAGGGCACATATCTTGGTTGCAGTTTGTCCCCGGCCCCGGTTGGGGTCATGTGGGAGGCAGCCACTCGATGTGTCCCTTTCATGTCAATGTTTGTATGTCCATGTTTGTCTGTCTGTCTGTCTGTCTGTCTGTCTCTCTCTCTTTCTCCTCTCCTCCCTCCCACTCTATCTGAACAAAAATGGAAAAATGTCCTCAGGTGAGGATAAAAAGAAAAAGAAAAAAACTGGTGAGAATTCACCTGTAACTAAGGATTGCCCAGGTAAATAAGGTGTGTATTTTCTCAAAGTGAGAGGGGGTGTTTTAGCAGTATTTTTGTCACAGGTTATAAAACCAACTCCAAGTCATATAATTCATGTCACATTTACTGCTACCAAGTAACTCATTCATGTGATTCCTCTCTTCTAAGAAATAACATCCACAGGATTCTAAATTGCCAAGTATTGAAAGAAAAGAGCCCGATGCTCACCCTCTGGGCCCGTTCAGCGATGGTGAAGTTGACGTAACTGAGCGGCTGGCTGGCAGAGTCTGGGCTGGTCAGCGCGTACATGGAGAAGCGCGGGAGCTGTCTCGTCAGTTCAAACACGTGAAACTGGGTGCTGTGGCCGACCAATGGGACACAAGAGAACTGTTCCATACAGAAAGTATTTCAAAGCACAAGTCCCGGAAAATAACAGTCACAACTGAGTCACCAGGTTGATATTTAAGGGTTTCACAGATGGAAAAAAAATCCCCCAAAACTTGAGGGTTAAAGTTCTCCAGTAATGGGGTTTGGGATTTGGAGGTAACATGAGTCTACATATACGTATACACCCACCAAGGGTTTAAAACACCCTAAAAAACGTGAACAGGCCTTTGTCTTCCACAAATCTAGTAGATATTCTCCACCAGCTGAGGTTATATGTAACTCTAATACAAAGATGCATCCCAACCCTTAGTCTTAGTGGTCAAAACCAGAAGTTGACAAATCATCAATTAAATATATTTTGTGCCCTGGTATGTATGACTCAGTGGTTAAAGCGTCAGCCCATGGACCAAAGGGTCGCGGGTTCGATTCCAGTCAAGGGAACGTACCTAGGTTATGGTTCAATCCCCGGGCCTGGTTGGGGTCGTGCAGGAGGCAGCCAGTTGATGTGTCTGTCTCACATCAGTGTGTGTGTGTGTTTCTCTCTCTCTCTCTCTCTCTCAACCTCTCTCGCTCACTTTCTCTTCTCCCTCCCTCCCACTCTATCTGAAAAAGCAATGGAAAAATAACCTCAAATAAGGATTTAAAAAAAATGGACACATATTTTATGATTATAAAATCATTACACTAAAGCTAGAAAATAACTATCTGAAACTTAAATACCCTTTTTTGTTGTTGAAGGTTTCAAATTAGGAAAATAAAGTCCTGAGAGACCTGCCTGGTGGACAGAACCGTTAAAGGCTCTGTGGCCCTGCAGAATCCCTGGCATAATGGAAAAATCTACACATCTCCCCTCCTCTCAGTGCTGTCTGCAAATAAACTGTGACTTGCAGAGGATCACCTGCTTCTGTAACCCACGAAGGTTTTCAAGTGCAGATCCACAGGGACATCTTTGGGAGGTGTAATTGGGATTCGGATGGAGCTGGAAAGACTGTGAATGCTGGGGTGTACCACATGGCTTTCACCTAGAAAAATTCCTTCTGCAAAAATCAGGACCGCTCGGATGATGGTGTCTGCAGTGAAGAGAGAAAATCAGCAGCTCAAGAACCACTCCAGGCTAGCACAGGTGCCTACAAGTGCCAGCCAGAAGTAATTTCTTACCATTCGAAGTAGAAATGCACAGTTCTGCATGAGCAGCCTGAGTCTCGTTCCCCAGGTTGACTGAGAGGGCAGTGTGGAGCTTGGTGTTGGCTGGGATTATGCCCCGCTGCCCATCGGCCTCATTCAGCGAACTGCTCACCTCGGCCTGCAAAACATCCCACCCACTTCCAACTCAGTCAGCCATCAAACTGAGAACTAAATACTATGGTTATTCTGCTTCAAAGGACACTCTCTTCATTTTAGTATATTAATCTCATTTTTCAGAATTCAGAAGACTCTCCTTATTAGTGCCCCTTGCTCTACCAGGCCTTTTCCCAAACAAAATACCCTCGTCCCTTTCTGTGTTTAAAGTCCACTGTACCCCATCATGCCTTTCACATTTTTTATATTGTTCTTTTAAAACAAAATAAAATTAATTTAGCATAGCAAACTCAAAAACAGCTATGTGTGACAGGACAAATTAAAATCCTACTTCCCAGCTCATCCTCCAGCCCGTGTTACATACATGTGTAGACATACAGACACACACACACACACGCACACATGGGTCTCTGTAGTTGTCACTTTTACATTATTTGTTTTTCAAAAGATAAAAAATACTTTTTGTTTCTCCTTTTTTTCACTTAATAATACCACATGTATCCTTCCATACCAGCCGACTCCATGTACTTCATTATTCTGAGCTGCTTCATATTCCCCAGCACGTACCCCCTACTCCCGATCAACATCTCAGCTGCTTCCAGTGCTCACTGCTACAAATGGTGCTGCAGTGAATGTCTGGAAACACTTGTGCAAAGATCCCATAGCTCAGCTGCCTGGAAGTGGCATTTCTGGATGCAAAGATGCATGCCCCATTCATCCTGACCCAGGCAAAAAAGGCTGAAGCAACCTGCCAGCAGGTGGATGGGAGGGAGCCCGCACTGTGGCAAACAGAGACGTTCTCATTTTGCTTTTCCACATGCCAATCCTCGACTTTTCAGATTCCATTTCCCCTCCACATTCGGCCCCACCTTGGCATTTTCCTCATAGTTACGGAGTTCCAGCAACAGATTCTGTTTTTTCTGAGTCAGTTCTCGGATCAGGTCCTGCTCTATGCTGGTGTCCATGAGGTTCCCTCTCATCTCAGCCGAGCCTGGCAGGTAGCCCCGGACTGAACAGAAGGAACAAACATTCACCACACTAAAACATCCCAAGTATAGCCAGGTCTACTTATAAATCATCAATTAACTGGTCTTATAAACCAAAAACCTAAGTTCTCATTTCCCCAACTTAGATGGACTTATTAAGACTAGAGGGTATCAATACAAACACTTTACAGTGGAATTTCCTGGTACTCTGACCCAATCAAATTGAAAATCTGACTTCTCAAGAATTTTTCCACCCCCAATTTACTTTCTCCATCCACTGAGCAGCAGATTAGCTGGGCGTGGCCATCCAGCAGGTAATCTCCCTCTATCACACCGGCGACTGCAGAAGAAAAGTTGTCTTTAAAGATGACCTCCCCAGTTCGATCACTTCGAGCATCGACCTAAAAATAAAATAACTTGAAATAGCACTTATGTTACCATTTTTTAAAAACACAAAAATTTAAAGGTCATTTAGTTTAGCAGTTTCCAAGAGGACTCCATGGAGCCCTGTGGCTTCTGGGGAGGGGGCCTATGACCTTGGGGTCCAAGGAGACCATAAGAGGCCTTAACCAGTTGGGTTATCTTCTTTCTAAAGAAGTTACTTTATATGCTGGCTTCTACATAATAGTTCATTTGGAGAAATGGGTTAGCTGAAAGGCAGTACATACACCATACAGTGAAAAATCCAAACTACCCAGATTCCAGTTCTGGCTTTGCCCTTACTATCTATGGGATCTTGGGCAAGTTTCTTAACCATCCTGGGCTTGGTCTCCTCATCTGGGGATCAATGACAAGAACATGAAGACAATAACTGCACCTACACCTCACAGGGTTGGAATGAGGCCTAAAGGAGTGAACACATGTAAAGCACTTAGAACAGGGCCTGGCACACAGAGGTATACAAGAAATATTAACTCGCCCTGGCCAGTTTGGCTCAGCGGTTAGAGCGTCGGCCTGCGGTCCGGAGAGACCTGGGTTCGGTTCCCGCTAAGGGCACGTACTTCGGTTGCAGTTTGTCCCCAGCCCTGGTTGGTCGTGTGGGTGGCAGCCACTCGATGTGTCCCTTCACGTTGATGTTTCTCTCTCTCTCCCTTCCTCCCTCTCCCTCCCACTCTATCTATACAAAAAAATGGAAAAATATCCTCGGGTGAGGATAAATAAAAAAAAAAAAAAAAAGAAAGAAATATTAACTCTATATACAAATCTTATCCTTTTTATATATAACTGTATAGAGCACACTATACTTGCCCTGGCCAGTTTGGCTCAGTGGTTGGAGCATCGGCCCACAGACCAATTAGTCACGGGTTCAATTCCAGTCAAGGGCACGTACCTCAGTTTAGGTTCATCCCCAGGCCTGGTCATGTCGGAGGCAACCAGTCCATGTGTCCCTCTCACATTGATATTCTCTCTCCCTCTTTCTCGCTCCCTCCTACTCTATCTGAAGCTAAATAGAAAAATATTCTTGGCTGAGGATTTTAAAAATAAATAAATAAAATAAAATATACTATATCTAAAGTTTGAAAATGCCAAGCTAGCCCAACCTTCCACCATAGATATAACCTTTTATAATACCCTGTTTAAGAGTCCCTCTTCCCCATAAACACTACTGAGATACCTAGAGTCCTCCTATCCTCTTTGAGTCTCCTCTTCCCAAGAGAGGCAAATACATACCTGATTCATTAGAAACAAATGCATCTCAAAATCAACAATGAAGACCGACCACTCAAAGTGATGACTGTGTTCCACATGAGAACACATGTGACATCAACAAAAGGCTAGCTACAGAAGATCTGGTAGAGCCATCATCTAAATGACCGATGCCAATTACTACTTTTGTCTTTTCATAAACATCCTCTAGTCAAAACTTTGCAATGAGAAAATAAAGTGATTTAGGTCATAGCCTACTACTAGCTTCTATCCCTTGTCTGGAAAATATCACATTCATATATCCACACTATTAATAACATCATGTAAGCCTGAAATTTATGGGTGCCAAAGCCTGTGAAGTAATGAACAGCCTGTATTTTAGCAAAGCCCTTAACACATTAACATAACCTGAACTCAGACTGAACTGAACTTACTTCTTTCTAGGCACTTAAAAGCCTTCAACACTGTACTTCCACAATATTTAGCAAACAGGAGGGTCATCTGCTAAAAAGCTGGATTACAAATTAATATTTCTGTAGATCTTCTGCTCATGTACTTTATTCATCATGGAGGTTTTGCCCTGGAGGAGAAGACAACCCTCTAATTCAGTGGTTCTCAACCTGTGGGTCACGACCCCTTTGGGGGTCGAACGACCCTTTCACAGGGGTTACCTACGACCATTGGAAAACACATATTTCCGATGGTCTTAGGAACCGAGACACTGCTCCTCTATCCGTCTCCAGGCAGGTCCGCCCACATGCAGATACGCCCACGTACAACATGAGGAGCTGGATTACAGGGTCGCAGCATTAGGAAGGTTGAGAACCACTGCTCTAATTCAATAAATGACCTACTAACAACAAAGTTAACTGGCCAGTTACATTTATTTAGTCTTTTTGCACCTATACTCACATGTTCTATCTGTACATTTTCCTTTTCTGTGCTATTTCTGTTAAGTGTAGATATCAGTTTTTCTACTTATATAATGAACTGTGCAATTTTCTTATCTTTTTTATGCTCTAGAACAAATTATATAATAGAAATTCCTTAACATTTTGAAAGTGTTTAAAATATCCAGGCCCAGAGTCCTACTTGAAGGTAACTTTTGATAACTTCTCAAGTCTGGTAATTCCTACTTCTTGAATCAATCATAGTAATTTATATTCCCCCAGAATATGGTCTGTTTTATGGATTTTCAAGGTTTATTTATTTTTAACTGAATGTACTGGGGTGACAATGGCTAATAAAATATATAGGTTTCAGGTGTACAATTCTATAATACATAATCTGTATACTGTGTTGTGTGTTCACCACCCCAAGTCACGTCTCCTTATATCACCATCTGTTCCCCCTTTATCCTCTTCTAACCCCCTCCCCCCACTTTCCCTCTGGTAATCACCATACTATTGTCTGTCTATGAATATTTTGTTTTGTTTTGTTTTGCTTAATCCTTCCACCTTTGGATCTTCCCTTGCAATTTTTAACACTCATACCAAAGACAAAACCAAGTGGAGCAGCAGGAACCAACATAACAGCAAAGGAAGATTACAAGGTCTGGGCCAAAAGTGAATAAAAAAATCAAAGGAGAAAAGATAGGACTTAGCTGATCTCCAGACAATCAGCACTGACAGACAAGAAAGTCAGGACGAGAGCAGTTTCCAACCAAACAATCCTCACTTGCCAAAGACTATAGAAAATTCTGATTTGAAGTGCAAAAAGGAAAGAAAGCAAAATGACTTTATTTTGAAGTTATAGCTGGGGAAACATTATTCCCATTAATTCTAGGTTTTCAGCTAGTTTTAAGATTAGTTAGAAAAGAGCTATACAATTCCTTGTTTTACTGGCCTATGCCCAGGGTCAACCTGACTGCATGGATTCTCATTCCTTCCAGGAAGAGATTTAGAAAGAATCTGCTAGAGATGATCACCCAAGTGGGGCCACGAGGCCAAAGGACACTCACTTATTCTGTAGTGTTGACAACTACAGCAGGAAGAAAAAAATGTGGAAAGATTATGAAGTTAAATTTGAAAGCACAGCCAAGGAATGTGAGTTTGTACCCTCCTGTTACTGTTCTGAATCATACAGCCACTACGTCTCAGACCATTCTTACTTTGAATTATACCTGAACTCTGCTATTTAACTTACCTTCCCATTGGACCAACCAGTTATCAGTTCACATACTCCATCAGAATTAAGGTCAAAAGCATGAATGCTCATGGCATGATTTTTGGACTGAAAAGGAATTTCAATAATTAGTACGGAAGTCTCTCAATATGTATAATATCCCTGCATATCAGAGGCTGAATCATACTAACTTTAATTCTCCAATATCGGGCTGTTTTGTCATAAACTCCAACCGTGCCGTTGGAAAGGGCATAACCAAATCGACTGCCATACATGGGGCAGAGTGAGGTGATTATCTGCAAAAAAAATAATACATGAAAAGACTACACCGTTTCATTAAGACTCAATTTAAGGTGAAGTATGGCTTCATAAAACTGCATGCCTTGCTACAAGTGTATTCACATTAGATTGAAATGTACTTCCAGTCCATTAGCGGGTAAAGTGTTCCTCTTCTGTGACCCATCTTATCTGTTTCACAGGCTAGATAATCAGAACTAAATAAACTCACAAAGTTTGCTGTTTTAGATGGAGTTTATGTGGAAGTTGCAGCAAATTCCAAACAGAAATAATAAAATTGAGGGATAAAAGAAAAAATAAGCTAAGTATGTACAATAAGTATTATACATACTAATTCAAAAATGTTTTAATGACTAATCCAACTGCCTTAACTTACAATATTCCACAGTCTAAATTTTTAAAAAACTTACAAAGCCCATCCAGTGTGGCTCAGTGGATTGAGCGTCGTCCCATGGACTGAGAGATCTCGGTTCGATTCCCAGTCAGGACACATGTCCAGGTTGCGGGCTTGATCCCCAGCAGGGGTTGTGCAGGAGCAGCCAATCAATGTTTCTCTTTCACACTGGTGTTTCTATCTCTCTCTCTCTTCCTCTCTCTCTAAAAAAAAATCAATAAAAAAATAAAAATAAAGTAAAATAAAAATACTTACAAAATCCACAAATGAACATCTTTATGTGTATACTTTTTTTCCTATGACATAATTTGTGTGCTAGAGATGAAAGACATTTTTTAGAAAAAAACATAATCCTTTGAAAAGTGAAATTCCAAACACATGCCTCTCTGTATCTATGTGACAATATACAGAATGTATATAGCATACTGAAATATTTATAGGACTATTTTGGGATTTAACATCTCAAAAAGATAAATTTTTAGGTATTAAATGACATACCCTTTTAAAGTTAAAACCAAAGCTTAATAACATCTATGGTCTTGCAGACCTACTTTCTCATTCTGACCCTAATAAAAAAGATATTAAGAAATAAACTGTAAAGCCATGGCCAGTTTGGCTCAGCAGTTAGAGCGTTGGCCTGAGAGTCCTGGCTTCGGTTCCTGCTAAGGGCACCTACCTCAGTTGCAGTTTGTCCCAGGCCCCAGTTGATGTGTCTCTCTCACATCGATGTTTCTCTCTCTCTCTCTCTCTCTCTCTCTCTCTCTCTCTCTCTCTCCCTACCTCTCTCCCTCCTGCTCTACCTGAAGATAAATGCAAAAATGTCCTTGGGTGAGGATAAAAAAACAACAAAAAAGAAATAAACTATAATCCAGAGACTAGTTATGTAATTTCTTCTATGCCTACACTTTTTCACAAAACCACCCACATCCCTTAACTCTGAATACAAAGTGCTATTAGGATTTCAGAAGTATTTAGCTCAAGGCATCCTTCTGGCAGTACTTGGTACTATTGAGCTGCCAAATAAATTATGATTTTGCTGATCTGGGAAAAGAGGTTTGAGCTAGGGGCAAAATCAAACTGAGGACAGGAAAATGGCCCTGAAATGAACAATTTTACAAAGTCCACATTTTCATAAATTTAAGCCCCAGATTCCCTAGGTCCCTTAGTTCTTCCTTAGTTTGCTAGTTTCTCTCTTTTGTGGACTAGAGGATCAATAGTCACCTCAAAGCCCTAGTTCTATTTCATGTTCTCCTGGTCTCTTCTAGGATTTAGGGAAAAGGTGTTTCAAAGAATGCACCCTTGTCACATTTAGTACTGACAATAAACAGAAATCCAACAAAACCTGAATGATTCCCACCAAATGGGAAAAGATTTCTACAAATTTGCAGAAAATGGAAATGACAATGCAGGCATAGCACCTATAGGCCAGTGATTCTCAAGTTGTTTGGTCAGGGTGGGGGGGCAGGTGGGGAGGTGGCAAACCCCTGTAAGAACCTCATGAAAGCTAAGGACCCTCTCTCCAGAAAAGCACGTTAAGCACGTACACATAAAACAGAACCCCTTTCATGTCTTCTCTGTCCATAACTATCACTTTACAATTATAGTAACTGCAAGTATATAAAAAAGTACAGTAGGACTAAATAAAAATCCAAGGCTCTTGCAATAGGATAACTGTCAATTAATTAAAATCACTGATAACATTTTGTATATCAATATGTAAGTTCTGCTTTTCAGCCTCCTCCGCAGTTAGAACATAGCCTGACTCTCCTAGATTGCTTCTACAAGGACAAGTGGTCAAGTGTGGTTTTGAGGTCGGACTCCCAAACACCACCTGACGACATTTTGCAGGATCCCGCCATTATGACCTCTCGCACCCCCTTTTATTGTTTTTGTGTCCATTTACAACGTTCACAAGCCATGCTCCTTTAGCCTCTTCTCCTTCCTTAACTCAAAATATCCTAGTTCTTTCTTCTGTTTCCATCTTGCTCAGTGCTGGGAAACCAGCAGCATGTACCCTAAGAATGTCAAAACTACAAAGGACAAGGGCAATCTTAGGCACTGCTTTAAAAAATGAAGTTTAAACTCTTTAAGAAACATATCAATTACATGAAGTAATTCTAATCACAAAGAAACTAGCCAAGTTCTCTATCATCTAATTTTTAATTTTACCTACAAAAGTGTGCCTAAGAAGTACTTAATTTGAACTTCATTTCCCTTTTAATAGACACGAGGAGGAGGAGGAAGACAAGACACAAAGGTTCAAATCCTGACCAAGCCACTTATAATTTAACTAAGAAACTTCATATCAGTTTCATCTGTAAAATGGGAATAACAGTATTTCCTTCCTAATAGGGTTGTTGTAGGGTTAAATGAGTTAGTTCATGTGAAGTACTTAGAACAGTGCCTGGCATATATTAGGTGCACAATAAATAGTTGCCATGATAATGATGATGTTGACGCTGTTGATGATGGTGACTCATTAAAAGAAATGCCTTTCTTGCCATGGCCAGTTTGTTCAGTGGTTAGAGCACTGGCCCATGGACCTAAGGGTCAAGGGTTCGATTTCAGTCAAGGGCATGTACCTGGGTTGCAGATTTGATCCCCAGCCCTAGACAGGGTTGTGCAGAAGGCAACCAATCGATGTGTCTCTCTCACATTGATGTTTCTCTCTTCTCTCTCTCTCTCTCCCCCCCTCTCCCTCCCTTCCACTCCATCTTAAAAAAGAAAAAAAAATTCATGGAAAAATATCCTCGGGTGAGGATTAATTTTTAAAAAATGCCTTTCTGCTCAATAATTTTCCTCTATTTAATTAGTCATTTCAAAATATGTCTTATATAAGATCTTTAAATGCTTCTTTCTCTGTAATGTACAGCTCTGTTTAATGCCCAGTTTTTACCCTACAACCATCTGGATTGTGAGCTGATGTCCCAGCACTGTCATTTGACGTCATTACTTTTTTTTTATCCTCACCCGAGGATATTTCTCTCCATTGACTTTTAGATAGAGTGAGAGGCAGAGGAGGAGAAAGACACATCGATTGGTTGGTTGCCTCCTACACGACCCCAACTGGGGCCAGGGATTGAACCTACAACTGAGGTGTGTGCCCTTGACCGAGAATTGACTCTATGGTCTGCAGACCGACACTCTAGTCACTGAGCCAAACCTGCCAGGGCTGATGTCACATTTGACTGTGCTGATCTATCTTGCCCAAGGGTTACCACTTCTTACCTCTGTTTCTGTCATTTCTGCCACAATCTCATCTTCTTTAAAAACTCGGATATCAAAATCTTCAGATCCAACAAGAAGCTTAAAAAAAAAATCATGCATATTTACTTCAGCAAGTGAACACAGAAAAATTTCCATATATAAAACAAAAAATTGCATAATATTTTGTATGTTGCTACTGCTACCCAAGACTTCCAATCTCCCAGCAATCCAATGCTCAGGAAGGTTCCCTTCAATGGAAAGGTCAACAAATTTAGTCAGTGAAGAAACAGTGGCTCTAGAGACTTTCTCCTGCTATGTGGGCGGCATGTCCTACCAGGGCACGTGCTTCCAGCTTGCACCTGAAGGTGCTCCCTGGTTCAGCACCTGTCTGCCTGCAGATGGAAGCCCTATTTCAAATACCAAAGCCAGTATCCATGGACAAGAGAGGGGTAAGTCACTGCCCAACACAGCATTTCACTTGCTGCTCCAGAAGTTAATTTCTAGAGTAACCATAAGGATCATTTCAAAGGCTAAGAGCCAATCTCTAAAACTTCTAAATTACTGAAAAAGTTGGTCCAAATTGAAAACTATTTACTGATATGGTTCAAAAGTATCAGAAGCAAGTTATAAGATTGTGTCTATGACTGCGGTCCCGTAACTGTTCTGCCCTGCCCTCCCTTCCTGTCCTGTGCCTTTGAAACATCATGGCCTTGATCTTTGTATTAGACAAAGTGATTTATTGTTCAAGAGAGAGGAAAAAGATAAATGAGTTAGCTCATTATGTAGGCAACCGAGCACCAACAGCAACCATGAGAAGCTAACACTTCTCTTAACACCAAGGTCACTGTCATGGGAAAATGTATTCAGCTGAACATAAAGAGAAGTATCTCCTCCCTCACTTACCTCTTTTTTCCCATCACTGTCAAAGTCACACAAGGCCAAGGAATGAACATTATCTCCAGTAACCTGAAAATAAAGCCCAGTATCATGAACATGCCCTATTTTTTCACTCAATCTGACTATAATAGCTACATGAAAGAGATTACACAAACCACCAACAGGTGTTATTCAAATTTGCATATCCTTTTTCTAATGTACAAAATTATAAATATGGTTCCATTTCGTTTTCTCTTATTCACTACAGTCAAGGGGGGGGGGACACACAAATAAAGAACATTAAGAGTAAACATGTTTAAGAATACTAAAAATAGTGTTCTGTTCTTCATACCGTCCAAAAGAGATCATTTCCTTCATGATCAAAACCCTGCAAAGCACAATTTCCACCAATAATTGCAAGAGGAGAGGAAATGTCTCCCAATGTCCCCAACACAATTGCATTGGCCCCATCTGCCACCTAAGAAGAAAAAAGATATAAAATCTCAGATAACAAGGATGCACAAGCCCACTGGAAGAACACACATCCTTATCTTTATTTGAACACTCAAATTCCTCCGTCATCAATTGTGAGAAGCCACATGGTCTCCTGAGAGCCAGGTCCACTGAGGACAGTCACTGTGGCATATGTGTGCTGATGCAAGGATGGGCGCAGATCAAGGGGACACTTAGGCCCTTGGCATCGCACACTAATCTGCTACGATAAACTGCTAGGAAGTACAAGGATCTCTAAGATATTTGGCCAAACATTATTCTAGATGTTTCTGTGCAGGTATTTTTAGATGAGATTAACACTGAAATTAGTAGCCTTTGAGTAAAGCAGATTACTCTCTATAATGTGGGTGGGCCTTCTAATAAGTTGAAGACATTAATACAGCAGTTCTCAACCTGTGGGTCGCAACCCCTTTGGGGGTCGAATGACCCTTTCAAGGGGTCGCCTAAGACCATCAGAAAACACATATTTCTGATGGCAATTCATAACAGTAGCAAAATTACAGTTATGAAGTAGCAACGAAAATAATTTTATGGTTGGAGGGGTCACCACAACATGAGGAGCTGTATTAAAGGGCCGCGGCATCAGGAAGGTTGAGAACCACCGCCTTAATAGAAGACTGGCCCCGAGGAAGGAAGAATTCTGCCACCAGACTGACTGCCTTCAGACTTGAGTTTCAATAGCAGCTCTTCCCCGGGTCTCCAGCCTGCTAGCTGGCCCTGCAAAGTTTGGACTTGCCAGTCTCCAAAACCATGTGAACCAATTCTTTAAAATATATCCCTCCCTACCCCTCTCTTTATAGATACACATCCTATTCTGTTTATCTGGAGAATTCTGACTAATACAGTCCTAAACTCAATTCGTCTTGTATAAAAACATAAGAAGCCTATCTATGTGAGCAAAAATTTCTTAGAAGGGCAGGAAAAGCACTAACCATTAAAGAAAAAAATTCATTTGCTGAGCTTCATCAAAATGGAAAACTTTTACTCATCAAAAAACACCTATCTTGGAATAATCCACATACTGAGAGAAAATATTTGTTGTATATAAATCAAACAAAGAACTTGTACCCAGTATATCCAAAGAATATCTATAAGTCAATAATACACACAAACCACCAACAATAGGCAAGACTTAAACACTTTACAAAAGACTATAAATAGGCAATAAGCACAGGAAAGGTGTTCTACACATCACTGTTCATGAAGGAAATGCAAAATGAATGCAATTAGCAACCATGATCAAATAAATGTCAAGTGGGTAATGTCAAGCAGATGCAAAAGGCAAAATCACCATGTTGTTTAACAACAACCACGTAATAAACCAAAATTAATGTCTGATCTCATTCAAGCATAACAAAAATTAACATTAATGGGTAATGGGAATTTTATGGCTATTAAGGGGTATACTTGCCTCTCTGTAGAAAAAATCTGAATTATTGTAGACATCATAAGCCAAAAGATTAGTCTGTGTCCCCACTAAAAGAGCATCATAGCCAAGTTCAGGGTTCAATACTCCTGCGGTCAGGCAGCTGACAGCCTGATTAATGTTGAGAAGAGAAACATCAGACTCCAGGGGGCTCTGGAAGACCCTGGGTGCATTGAAATGCTGGCTCCGTGTATGAGGATTGTGAATAAAAACCTAAAACAAAACCAGTTAATTACATTCCCTTAAAATACCAAAAATGTATAATTAACATACATTTTTTAAAAGACTTGGATTATGCCCTGGCCAGTTTGGCTCAGCGGTTAGAGTGTCGGCTAGCGGACCAGAGAGGTCCAGGTTCAGTTCCCACTAAGGGTACGTACCTCGGTTGCAGTTTGTCCCTGGACCTGGTTGGGGTCCTGTGGGTAGCAACCACTCTCACACAGATGTTTCTCTCTCTCTCTTCCACCCTCTCTCCTTTCCGCTCTATCTGAAAATGAATGCAAAAATGTCCTCAGGTGAGGATAAAAAAAAAAAAGACTCAGATTATTAACAGATATCAACATTAACAAGAAATCACTTTAATCATCTATAAAACTTATTTAAAACACCCACAACACAGTTCTGTGAATGGTTGGCTTTCAATCACTGTGAACTGTGGGAATCTGTAGTTCTCGGCCTTATAAAGAACCAGGTAATGAACACGGTCTAGTTGTTGCTTAGCCGGGCATCTTTATATGCTACCCACCAGCAGGCTGTCAAAGCACCTAATGAATTCACTTCTTGACCCTTAAAACAGTCTGGTAGTTAGTAAATCTGTTTTAACAAACTTAAATTGAGTCATACAAATCAAGCTTCTTGAAAGCTTTCATAGTCTATACTAGTAAGACAGAATTAGACAGTTAGCCCAAAGTTAATTAATTTAGCAGTTTCAATAATCATATATATACTCGCCAAAGTATCTGCACAAATCAATTTCTGTGGGCTTCATCTGTAAAAAAGAGGTTTGGACTAGAATGTGCATTCTCAAGGGAGTGATAAAACTCCCAGAAGGGGTGACTGGGGTTGGGATAGGGGGATCTTAGACATAAAAATAAATTTTTTTCCTGTTAATTGTCTGGTTCCCCTTCTCAAATGTACGCTCTAAGGGGGTAAGATTGTCACATTAACCCTTGCACTTGCAGAGCTAAGAACAGTGCCCAGCACATAGTAAGACCTTAATAAAGCAGGGGCTGAGCTACCATCAATAGGCCCTTTCCAGCCCATTTATTTAACTGCTATGCACCTATAGCAGAACTAATATGAATTGCTTTCTAGCATTTGTCAGTGATTCTTAACAATAACGACTAACATTATTGTTTGTCAGAGCCTATGCTAAGTGCTTTACTCCACTAAACTACTTAATGAAAATGAATCATTATTTTTAAATTATATATCCCAAGGCAAATCATAATATACAACATAGGTAGAAGTATCTTGAAAGCTATAAATTATATAACTCTTAATCACTATTAAATCTGCACTGGATTTAGAGAACATGGACTCTAATCTCATTTCCATGACTTTCTAGTTGAGTGACCTCAAGTATTACTTTGAACCTCTCTGAACCATTAGTTAGTAAAGTGGGAGTAATATAAAACAACAGCTAACAATTATTGACCATATTGACCATTTCTTAAATGCCAAGTGCTTCATATGTATTACCTTATTTAGCACTCATAACAACCCTATATGGTAGACTATTATTAAGTACTTTGCCCAAGGTTATGAAATTAGTAGGTACTGGAGCCAGGATCCAACACACCAGTGCTATGCTGCTGCTCTTGGCAATGTTGTAAGAATGATGAGATAACTAATGTAATAAAAAGGCTTCAAAACTGTTAGAAGCTATTGCACTTGGTGTCAGTGTATTCCATGCATTTGGGGCAAGGCTTTATCAATATACAGTGCCTTGATCTGCTTTGTCTGGTATCTTTCTGGACAAAAAGCCTCCAGGTTTATCTTTTTTTTTTTTATCCTCACTGGAGGAAATTTTTCCATTTTTTGTTCAGATAGAGTAGGAGGGAGGGAGAGAGAGAAACATCGACGTGAAAGGGACACATGGAGTAGTTGCCATCCGCACAACCCAACCAAGGCTGGGGACAAACTGCAATCGAGATACGTGCCCTTTGCAGGAACCGAACCCGGGTCTCTCTGGACTGCAGGCCGCCGCTTTAACCGCTGAGCCAAACCAGCCAGGGCTCCAGGTTTATCTTTAAATCCTCAACATCTAACACAGAAGAGGTGTTCAGGAAAAGCCTGGTGACTATTGAATAGCCATATCTTTTTCATCTCTGTGACTTGCACAGCACCAGGCACATAGTAAACCCATAAATTGAATAAACCCATAAACTTGAATAAATTATGGGGAAAGAGGTGAATGTACATGGATACAGACAAAAGTGCAATCTAAATCATTTCATTTGGAGGCCTTTGTTTTTTTTTCCCCCATCGAGTTGTTTGGTTCAAGGCAGTCTGAGATAGGGAGTTCAGAGTGAAAGGCAGAGGTTCTGGGCTCGAATCTGAGGTCTGTTACCACTGCTCACCCTGACCAGCCCCTTCCCCCTTCTGTGCACTTCTAAGCTCTCTATCTGCACAGGGACTTCAACACTGTCCGAGTCCAAGTGCCTGAAGGCAAAATTAACTGCTCAGAAAAGCCATTCATGAGAGACCCAATTATTCATTATTCTGCGCTGGGTTGAGAACTACAGGATGACAGCCGACCGGTTGCCCGGCAACCATGGCTGGGGGCGGGGGCGGGGATGAGGGGCGGGGGCGGGGATGAGGGGCGGGGCCGCAGGGTAGCGGCCCGCAGAGATCGTGAGACTCCAGGGGCCCGGGCTCCCTGCAGGGGGGTGCGGTTACCTTGCCCGCTTGGGTGGCGGCCGCCAGGCACGGGTGCGTCCCGTCGTAGCGCCCTATGGCCACCATGCGAGGGCTGATTTTGTGGCGCAGTTTCAGGGTGAACACGGGCAGCAGCATGATGGCGGCGGCTGTGGGGTGGACAGCTGGTGGCCCGAGACTGGCGCAGCGGAGCCGGTCTCGCCCGCTGCGCTGAGGGCGCAGGGATCAGACCAACGGGGCTCCAGCTGCTTCAGTCAGGGCGCGAACGAGCGCGGATCCCCGAGATGCCCAATCCCCAGGGCCGCCAGCTACTTCTGCAGTTGCGCGGACCCTCCCGGCGGCTTCTGCGACTGCGCAGACTCCGCCCAGCTCTTGCAGCTGCGCGGTCAAGCTCTCCCTTGGCAGAGCCTGAAGTTGATTTCTTTGGTGTGGTGGAGTCAAGGGTGTTGCTGCTGTAACTTACTCTCCATATTTTCCACTGCTAACGTGTCTACGGGGCCGTGCCCGAACCAGCGCAGCCCCGGGGCTTCTCTTTCTAGCACTACAACCAAGCTGCACCCCTGCATATTACACACACTACTACCCCACTCCAAAGTCATTAATTCAAGAAATGTCTTGGAGCATTCTGCCCCTTACTTTTAGCTGTTACGTTGATGCAAACCACAGTAGTTACCTGCACTGTGTACCACTAACTCCTCTCCAAAAAAATTAATCACTTTTTAGACTTTCACATTTAAATAGTCCACCGCCCCTTGTAGGAGTGTTGTAACGTGTCAGCGAGATAACCAGATATACACAGCTGAATTGTAAAGGAGCACTTCATTATACCGGCGGGCTGGGGGCGTACAGCTTCCCCAGATTTTTTCTTGCTGGGTTGTTTTTAAAGACAGAAGTCCCATCTCCCTCCCTGGCCCCCCCCCACACACACACACCTGTACAATAGTGGGTGCGACAGCCATTACAGAAGTCAAAATTATCATTAATCACTGGGCTCATGATTTGCAGTTTCTGATATTTGGAAACTGCAAATACTTCCCAACACGTGGGGCAACTATAACCTTAGGCAAAATTCCTTTACTTCTAGGGGTAATTAACCTATTATTGGAAAAATATTGAGGAAAGTCAATTGATGATAAAAATGGAGTTGTTTAGTGCCTTAGCCAAGGGGCCTACATAAGAATGGAATCTAGTTGCCTTAGCCTTGGGGCCCAGGTCAGGAGCCCCTATACATTTTTAAATGCAAATATGCAAAATTGAAAAGTCTTGAAACTTACCGACATTCATTTAAATATTTTTTAAGGGCCAACTGTGTCAGGTACTTCTTTTTTTTTTCTAGTCAGGCACTGTTCTAGATAATAGAGATATGGCAGTGAGCATACTAGTTTACTGCTCTTCTGGAGCTGTCCTACCAGTCAGCTGAGACAAGCACTAAAGAAATACTGTAATAGGTCAATACATGTAAAGAACCAACAGGCCCACATGGAATCCTTTGCACCCATAGCAGCAAACCAAGACTTAATTGCAGTTTCAGCCCCTGGCAGGAATGGGACCTTAAACCAAATAGTCTGAAATTTCCTAATCAACAATAGTGAGATAATCTGCCTAATAAAACCCCTTCCCCAAAAGAATGGTGCCCTAGCCTAAAACAATCCTTTCTTTTCTTTTGCTGATACCTTTCTTGTCCTGCCGTTTCTGTCTATAAAAACTTTCCATTTTGTACAACTTCTGTTTGTTCTGTGGGATGCTGCCAGGTTCATGATAGCTCAGTAAAACCAATAAGACCTTCAAATTTACTCCATTGAATTTTTGTTCTTTAATAGCACTATAGAGATAAAGGAGGAAAGAAGGGGAGAGTATTAAAGGGAGTGCAATTTTATTTTATTTTAAATCCTCATCCGAGGGTATTTTTCCATTTATCTTCAGATAGAGTAGGAGGGAGGGAGAGAGAAATATCAACATGAGAGAGACACATCGACTGGTTGCTTCCTGCACAACCCCGACCAGGGCCAGGATGGAACAGCAACCGAGGTAGGTGCCCTTGACTGGAATCAAACTCGTGACTCTAGTCTGCAGGCCAACACTCTAACTGCTGAGCCAAACTGGCTAGGACTGGAAATGCAATTTAAAATAGAGTGGTAGGGAAGAGATCTCACTGAAAAAGTGATATCCAGGCAAGGAATTGAAGGAAGTGAGGGTACCAGCCTAAGGAAGAGTGTTCCAGCAGAGGAAATTCAGGGATCACCCTGGTTGCCTTCCAGAAATAGACAATTAGGGGTGAGGGGATGACATGAATAGGAGCTGTCAAGGTAAGAGCATCCAAACTTATAGAAACATTTTATAAGAATTTATTTTAGCCAAGTTTTTTAGGACATGACCAGAAGCAAGATCTCAACAGACTGAAAAAAATTATCTGGAGAATGGCAGTTTTGCAGTTCATTTTATTTTTTTATTTTTTGTTTGTTTGTTTGTTTTTTATTTTTTGCAGTTTATTTTGTACTTTAGAATTAAAGGAGGAAAACGTAAGGAAGGTTACGTGAAATCCATTGTTGGTCGATTAAAAAGACAGGAGAAAGCAAAGCAAGGAAATCTCTAGGATTTAGGATTATATAAAAAGCAAAATGGAGAAACGCCTCTTTTACATAGGTGGGTACAGGACAGTTAACATTTAATATTTACAGTACTGTAGAGATGATATGTGAGCAATGAGATAAAAATAAGGGGTTTTGTGGTCTCTATGCTCTGGTGCCTGCAGTTGTGACTCCATGGAATCTGGAAAAAAAATTACTCTAACGTTTCAAAGGTATGTTATCCCAGATGCACAAAGAATAATGGACAGGGTTCTGTCAAGGTTAAGATTGACCTTTGCTAAAGAAGCTGTGAGCCTGGTATGCAGCTGCCCAGTTAGGAATTTATGACCAGGCCATCCTATGTGGTTACTTTCCATCACTGAGCTTATCAGGCCTGCCACTTGGCTGCCTGATCTTGACAGGTCTACTATGTAGCACCCTTTTCATTCACAAAACCAACAGAGGAGATGGAGAAGCAGCAGCCATTGAGGAAGGAGGACCAGGACAGTATAGTGTACTAGAAGCCAAGTGAAGAGAGGGTTGCCAGGAGGACCATAACTATCTCGGATGCTGTCGATAGATCTTGAAAGATGACTTCTGGAATATCGATATTTGCATTTTGTAAATACAGCTGTACAGATCTTCATCTTTTTTTCCAAGCCTATTGGTGTGTCTGTGACTAGTTGTAACCTCTTTGGCAATAATGTCAAAAGACTAAATTTGAGGGCAATAGTGGAAGGTAATACCTAAGCCAATGGCTGGATAAGACTCACCTCTGAGTTCTCCTAGCCCCTTTCTGCCCTACTTCCTCTTCTGTCCCGTCTAGACCCCACAGTCCTGTAGCAGCTCCCTGATTAATCCTGTAGTGGAAATTGCCCTGGGTCTGTCCTTCTGCCCTTGTCCATCTGAACTTTATTTTGAGAAATACCCTTTCCCTCAGGCCCTAGACTCTACCTCTACAAAGTAATCAGCAAACTATAATCACGCGACTTGGCTAACAGCTGATCATAAGTCTTAGTAGACCACCTCTCCCAGGAGTATTTTAAAAGGAATGAATCTCTAGTAGAGTTCATCCCACACTCTTCATTTTTATGACAAACATTTGTTGAAGGCTGTCATGTGCTAAGCAGTGTTCAAGTGGTTAGGGATACAGTGGTGAACAAGAAAACGTAATTTGTGTGTACTCTCATTGAATTTACATCCTAGGAGCACATTGGTTTGCCGATACTCTGTATAACAAAATACCACAAACTGGGTGGCGTAAGCCAGTGATCACAGTTCTGCAGGCTGGAAGTCCAAGATCCAGACGCCAGTGCAGTTGGTCTCTCCTGAAGCTTCTCTCCGTGGGTGGCAGATGGTCACCCTCTTGCTGCCTCTTCACATGATTGTCCTGTGCATGTACCCCTAGTGTATCTGTGTGTCCAGATTTTCTCTTCTTCAAAGGACACCAGTCAGGTCAGATTAAGGCCTACCCTCAGGGCCTCCTTTTACCTGAATCACCTCTGTAAAGGCCCTGTCTCCAGATACAGTCACCTCTGAGGTCCCAGGAGGGGGAGAAGTTACACAGTTCAGTCTATAACAAGGGGGTAGGGAGCAACAGACATTAAACACAGAAGTGAATAACATCATTTTATCTGCAGATCAGGTTAACGTGCTGGGGCTCGGGAAAAGGCCTCTCGGAGAAAGTGACATTTGAACCAAGAGCTTTATGTCAAGAAAGCAGCAGCCATTGGAAGATGCAGGGGAAGAGCATTCCAGACAGAGGAAAACAGCAAGGCCAAAAGCACAGGTTAGTCGGGTTTGAAGATCAGGAAAAAGACAATGTGGCTGGAGCCTGAGTGAGTGAGAAAGAGGTCAGCAGAGTCCACATCACCAGGGGCTGTGAGCCATAACAAGGAGACTAGGCTTTACTCTTTAGCAGGCAGACAATCCATGGCCTCCTGGATATCCCTGTAAAGCTGGTCTTGACCCGTCCACCCAGCCAGCCAGCCTTGCTCCTCTAGGTCTTGCCTTGGTGGCCTGCAGCTTTGCAGCTGCTCCTCCTAACAGTACATCAGCAGCAGCACTAACATTGATTAAGCATTTCCTAGGTGCCATTCTAAATACTTTATATGGATCATCTCACTTAATCCTACGATAACCCTACAAGGCAGGTACAATTTTTATCCCACGTTACAGATGACAGAACTTTAACACTGTCTCCTCCTTTCTAACTTTTCACTGGCTCCCCATTTTTAAAACATATGTTTTTATTGATTTAAAAAATTTATTTTTCTTTATTGATTTTAGAGAGAGAGGAAGTCAGAGGGAGAGAGAGAAAGAAACATCGATTGGCCACCTCCTGCATGCCCCCCACTGGGGATCGAGCCCACAACCTGGGCATGTGTCCTGACCAGGAATCGAACCGGCGACCTCTTGGTGCATGGGTCGATGCTCAACCACTGAGCCACACTGGCCAGGGCTGGCTCCCCATTTTTCATCAAAGAAAGTTTAAGCTCTTTGACACCTTACGATGATGAGATTCTGACCACTGTTGGCCTCTGCCAGCCTCTAACCTGATCCCTTCTCAGATGATTGCTCACATTAGCCCTCTGCCTGGAACGTCCTTCTCCACACTTTATAACTCCCTCCCATCTTTGAAGACAGGTTGGACACCACTCCAGGGAGTCAAGCCTGACAGCCCCTCTCAGCGCTGCTCCTACACTGAGGTGGCCGTCCTTCCTCTGCACTCTTATACGTCCCTGGCAGTCATCTCATCTCATCTGCCA